GGGGGCTGCCACCAAGGGAAGATTTGTTAACGCAGGGGCTGGTCCTTTGCCCCAGCGTGGGAAGATTGAGGTTAACGGCCTGGTTTCTGAGCGGCAGCTCCTCTTAGAGAAAGGTTTCTCGCCCAGGGTAGTGGCAACATTACTGGCCAGTAGGAAGGAGGAGACCCAGGCCATTTATGGTAGGGTCTGGAGTCGCTTTACAGCCTGGTGTGACCAGGCGTCAGTAGCAACCCATAGTTTAGTTTCGGTGTTAGAATTCCTCCAGGCGGGGGCAGACAAGGGATTGTCTGTTAGCACGCTCAAGGGCCAGGTCTCGGCCCTCAGCGTGTTCCTAGAGACGCCCTTGGCCAGGGAGGCGTTGGTGGTTAGATTTTTTAAAAGCTCTGGTGAGACAGAGGCCTCCGAGGAACAGACCGTTTCCGATGTGGGATTTGGCCAAGGTGCTCGGAGTGATAACTAGGGCTCCGTTCGAGCCCCTGGAGTCCTGCCCGATTGGTGAGCTCACCATTAAGACAGCATTTTTGGTGGCAATTACCACGGCGAGGAGGGTATGTGAACTAGAGGCCCTATCGATCAGAACACCTTATCTCTGTATTTTTTCAGACAATAGTTTTCAGGACGGACCCATCCTTCATTCCGAAGGTGGCCCAGACATTCCAGAGGGAACAGGACATAGTCCTTCCGTCGTTTTTTCCTGACCCGGTTGGGGTAGATCAGGAAAAACTTCATTTTTTGGATGTAAGAAGGTGCGTACTCCAGTATCTAGAGAGGATTAGGGAGTTTAGGAGCACCGAATCCTTTTTTGTTTTTTTCAAGCTGGCTAGAAGAGGCAAGAAGGCGTCTAGAAGGACGCTGGCCAGTTGGTTGCGACTGGCAATTGCAGGAGTGTACCGGGCTGAGGGCCTGGAGGCCCCAGAAGGTATCAGGGCGCATTCCACCCGAGCGGTAGCAGCTACCCAGACAGAGCTAGCAGGGGCTTCCCCAGGGCAGATCTGCAGAGCGGCAACATGGTCCAACTATGACACGTTTGCCAAGCATTACAGACTGGACCTGGTCTCGGTGCAGAAGCAGGCCTTTGGTCGTAAGGTCTTGCAAGCAGTTAGCCCGCCCGAGGGGTGAGTACTCGCTTATCCTCTCAAGGTGCTGGCCTGAAAGACGAAAGGGGAAAAATCAAGTTACACTTACGGTAATGTCTTTTCCAGGAGTCTTTCAGGTCAGCACCGGTTTTCCCACCCAGTGTTGATATTGGTTATCTGAGGATGGCTTATTACGATTATGTTGTCTCACGTTGTGTCTCCCCAGGTGACCGGAGGATGCTTGGAGAACTGAGGTCAGAGGGGAGTGGAGCTCTTTTATTTTAGGGTGGAGGTGTTTCCTCAGAGGGGGAGGAGCTGAGGTCTCTCAAGGTGCTGGCCAGAAAGACTCCTGGAAAAGACGTTACCGTAAGTGTAACTTGATTTTTTTTTTTATCACTGTATTGGTGTTAGTGCCACCAAGTCAGTTCCCCTCAGTGTCAGAATGCCCACCGCAGTCCCACAATAAGTCGCTGATCGCTGCCATTACTAGTAAAAATAAAAAAACAAATTTCACTATCTATACCGCCATTTGTAAACACTACAACTTTCACATAAACCAATTAATTTAAACGTATTGGGATTTTTTTTTGTTTTTAGCGAAGACATGAAGCAGAATACATTTTGGCCTAAATTTATGACAATTTGATTTTTTTTACTGGACATGTTTAATAGCAAAAAGTCAAATATTGTTTTCTCAAAATTGTCGGTCTTTTTTTTTTTTTTTTAGAAGAGCTAAACACAGAAATGTCGGTGTGAATGAGGTCTAACAATGCACTGCTTAAAGTGGAACTAAACCCTCCTTTACTTTACAGCAAGGAAGTTTAGTTCTGCTATAAATAAAGTAAGGGTTTCTAAAAATATATATACATACTCATCTCTGCCACAGAATCTGTGTGATGCTGCAATTGTCCCACGTCAGCTTTAAGACTGAGAACTGAGCTATCATATGACCGCTGATCACTCAGTTCTTGGTCTACTCTCGGCTTTGCTCCTCCAGCACTCACCGATGCGCTGAGCTGGGGAGGGGGCAGAAGTGGCTAGCTGCACGCGCTGAGAGGTGAAGCCAGCTGGTCGGATCCTGACAGTATGGTTGCCCTCAAAGGACCGGTTGCATCTGTAACACTGGATGTCCAGAGCCCCCCCACCCTCCCTTAAATCAGATGTCAAAAGGGCCCCCCCATCAGAAATTAACAGTCCCCCACTCTCCCTACATCACAGTGCACCCCCTTAGCTTGTGCTGCTGCCAGGAAGTCAGCTGGGGGCAGAGCTTGGAAGCAGAACGTGCATGGCATGGATGGTGAGCAAAGGAGGGCTGGAGTCAGGTGTCGGGCTGAACACTGAGGCAAGGGAAGGTGGAAACGAGGGAGTGCTGTGGTTGCACAGAGAGGCACGGGATCTGTACGAGGAGTTCTGTCCTCTTTGCTGCTGATTGCTGAGATGGGAGGGCGGTTGGTAGAGACCGGGGGGGCCCCCCAGCTGCAGGAGAGGTGTGGGGGCCAAATAAAATGACCTGGCATGCTGGATTCGGCCTGCGGGCCTTGTGTTTGACACGTGCTTCAGGATAGTATTGAACCCTCAGCACCTGATTTAAAGTGGTTCTAAATTACCTTAATGCATTCCCTGCATTAAAATGGAACTTTTTCCATTAACAACTTGATACAAATAATGCTCTTTAGCAAGAAACATACTGTATATCCCACATTATTATTTATGCTACCAAAGTCAGTGTGTGTTATAAATTGCCTCCAGTATTGTTCCTGTTTTTTTCTTGCCAGAGGTTGCCATTTTGCTGAAGCCTGGAGTCAGTATTAAATCTTTAGGCTGGAAACAGATTGGCCTCTACAAATTTGACAGTGCCTAAAGCTAGAGAGCAACTGAGCATGTGCAGAGCAGGGTGAGACAGTGTATTACTGGATTGCAAACAGTCTAGGCTCTTATTTGTAATGTTTTACATAGTATACCTTCAAAAGGGGCCTGCCTGAAGTGATTTAGCATTAACCACTTCACCTCCGGTGGGTTTTACCCTTTCATGCACATGTCAATTTTTGCTATTTAGCACTGTGCTACTTTAACTGGCAATTGCGCGGTCATGCAACACTGCACCTAAATGATATTTTTTATTTTTATCTTTTTCACACAGAGCTTTCTTTTGGTGGTATTTGATCACCGCTGTTTGTTTTTTTTCTTTTTTTTCTATATAAACAAAAAAGACCAGAAAATTTTGAACAAAAAAGATATTTTCTACTTTTCGGTATAAAGTGTATATATACTAAAATCAAATTTCTTTAGCTTAAATGTATTCTGCTACATGTCTTTAGTAAATATTATTGGTTTGTTTGAAGTTATAGCGTCTACAAACTATGGTATATATTTGAAAATTGATCAGTGCTGATGTACTGATGGCCTATCTTGGTTAAGATGGAATGTATGTTTCTTGCTAAAGAACATTATTTTTTTATTGAGTTGTTATGGATAAAGTTCCAGTTTAGGTGATTAAATCAACTGCTGAAAGTATTTATAACATGAGGGTTTAAAGTGGTATTTTAGTCAGAAAATTAAGTCCTACTAGATCACTTCAGGCTGGCCCCTTTTTCAGGTATAGCCAGGTCCGGACTGGCCAGAGGGCACACCGGGCATTTGCCCAGTGGGCCAGGGCCTCTGGGCTTAAGATGACCAGGCCGCACAGCAGGAGGTAAACGGCGACTGCAGTCCAGATGAGGCTAATACAGACCGTGGCCGCCACTCACCTCCCACTGTGCGACTAAGTCCAAAGCAGGGCCGATAGGAGGAGCAGCAGTGACGGCTCCTGAAGACAAGCAGAAAGTGCCACTGACACACAGACACCTACTCAGCAGGCTGCTGCTCTGTGACCGGTCTGTAGCGGCTGTGGATGGGGCTGTCTCTTTGCTGGAGGAGCTGTCTCTTTGCTGGATTGGCTGTCTCTGCCCAGTTGGGTCCCGGTCCCGAAAAGAGACATCCCCATCCAGCAAAGAGACATCCCCATCCAGCAAAGAGACATCCCCATCCAGCAAAGAGACATCCCCATCCAAAGAGACATCCCCATCCAGCAAAGAGACATCCCCATCCAGCAAAGAGACATCCCCATCCAGCAAAGAGACATCCCCATCCAGCAAAGAGACATCCCCCATCCAGAAGGGAAGGGACATCCCCATCCAGCAAAGACACATCCCGTCTGCTATATGGGATGTCTCTTTGCTGGATTTGGCCATCTCTTTTAATATATATGGGACACCGTGATTAGATCTCCAGGGGCACTGTGATATAAAGGAGACTGCACTGTAAAGGGGCACTGTAATCAATACAGTGCCTCTTTACAATGCAGTCCCCTTTATATCACAGTGCCCCTTTATATTCTATTAGTGTGGAGGACTGACTCCATGAATATGCCCAGGCCTATTTTTTGTCCCAATCCGGGCCTGGGTATAGCTATGTAAAACATTAAAAATAAGTGCCTGTACTGTTTAACCACTTGCCTACCAGGCACTTATACCCCCTTATTTACCAGGCCAATTTTCAGCTTTCAGCGCTGCCGCACTTTGATTGACAATTGCGCGGTCATGCAACATTGTACCCATATGAAATTTTGATCATTTTTTTCTCACAAATAGAGCTTTCTTTTGGTGGTATTTAATCGCCACTGGGCGCTTTACTTTTTGCGCTATAAATAAAAAAAGTGCAAAAAATTTGAAGAAAAAAAAAAGTTTTTGTTTCTATTATAAAATTTTTCAAACAGGTAATTTTTCTCCTTCACTGATGTGCGTTGATGAGGCAGCACTAAAGGGCACTGATAGGCAGTACTAATGAGGTGGCACGGATAGGCGGCACTGATAGACAGCACTAATGAGGTGTCACGGATAGGCGGCACTAATATGCAGCACTGATAGGCGGCACTGATGATGGGTACTGATAGACGGCACTGACTGGCATCACTGCTGGGCACTGACTGGCGGCACTGACTGGCACAACTGCTGGACACTGACTGGCAGCACTGCTGGGCTGCACTGGTGGGTGGGCACAGGTGAGTGGCACTGCTGGGCACAGGTAGGTGGCACTGCTGGGCACAGGTGGGTGCACTGCTGGGCACAGGTGGGTGCACTGCTGGGCACAGGTGGGGCAGAGCTAGTGGGCGCACTGCTGGGCACAGGTGGGCGGAACTTGCGGGTGCCACTGCTGGGCACCGATCATCAGGGCACTGATCATCTTGCATTTCCCTCTGATCAGCGTGTCATTGGACACCGCTGATCATGTGGTAAAAGGCCGCTGTGATTGGCCTTTTACCACATCACGTGATCAGCTGTGTCCGTAGGACACAGCGATCACGGAGATCGCCGGGTGCGCGCCCCCTGGGGCGCACAGGAGAGCGCGTTCTGGGAGGACGTCATATGACGTCCACTCAGAACTGGCCAGCCGCAGTGCAGCCGTCATTCGGCTATCTGTGGTCGGCAATAAGTTAAAAGAGAAGTACCACCAAGTTTGTTTTACTGTACTCCTGTGAATCACAGGACTGCAGTTCGCTCTGCACTCCTGTGACCTGTTTCCAGCCGACAGTGGGCTGAAATCTGCTGTCGGTGGATGTCACTCAGCCAGTCCAGACTGGGGAAAGATCCAGTCTTAAAGTCAGGATCCACCCAAACCAATGGAATGGCACCTGGCTCAGCCTCTCAGGGATTCGCTGAAGTCTGAGCCAGCTCCTCATTCCCCCTCCACAGCCTGTCACTCAAGTGAGCGCTGGAAGGGCAGAGCAGAGAGCAGTGACTGACATCCACTTAGGTGAGTATAATTTCTAAATAAAAAAAGAAAAAAAAACTTAAAATCCAGTAATTCATTGTCTCACCCTGTTCTGCATATGCTTAGTTGCGCTCTATTTTTCTGCACTGTGCCAAATATCAAAGCCACTAGAGCCCGATCTGCTGGCGTTCTAAAGATTTACTGCTGCTTATGGGCTCTTGGCTTCAGCAAAATGGCAGCCTCCAGCAGGAGCATACAGGAACACTGCTGGAGGCAATTTAGAGCACACACTAATTTTGTTAGCACAATTATTAATATGGAATGTATGTTTCCTGCTAAAGAACATTTTTTTTTATCAGGTTTTTATGGGTAACGTTCCATTTTATGTGATATTAAATCTTCATGTGTTACACTTGTCTTCCCAGAGCACTGCCACTGGATCAGCAGGACAGACGGGCATATAGCTTTCCCGGAAAGAGAGACTACCAATGACAACCCCCGTACTGCAAGTCAAGTTTCCTTTAAACATCTCAAAATACTGAGCACATAGCAACACATAGGAGATCACGGCTTCCTAGAGCTCCTCCCCCTGAGGAGAGTACACAGCGCTCAGCCGGCTCTGGCAGCTGCTGATTGGCTTAACCTTTGCTCCGCCCCGCTTGCTCCCCTCATACATTTCTTTGGCTGAGGCCAGCAGCGTGAGCGCGCTTGGGTTGGAACGGGGCGGGAGAGACCCGGGGGAGATCCGGGTTCTGTGCACGAGCATGACGTGTACAGTCGAATCAAAACAGAGCAGGTGCTGTACAGTAGAGGCTCCCGGCTGGATCGTGTTGTGAGGTGAGGGGTCCTGGGACTGTGCACTGACACTACTGTTCCCCTATGGATGGCATCGTATGCATGGAGTCCCATCCTGTGCTGGGACTAGTTTACTTGGCTTGTTTGTTGTTTTCCCCTCCCTCCCTTCCTGTCTGTTATCCCAGCTGATTGTGTGTCCTGATCAGTCTTCATCCATAGAAATCAGCCCCATCCAGCTGTAGGATGGACATGGTGTGCTCAGCAGCTGGCATCCTTTGTGGCTCTATTCCTGCTCATTAGATCCTATGGGATGAAATCACGAAGGTAACAGCCATGGATGAGGATACTGATTCATCAGAAAAGTGAGTTCTAGCCAGCTGGGTCCAATGATATTGAAAAATTCCAGTCATGTGACTAAAATAAAGATATGACTGGAGGGAAGCAACACATTCCCCTTCACTCAGCTCACAGGAACAGAACTGAGGCTGTCAATCAGATGGAGATCCCTCCACTGTCACCATTTTTCTCTAGGTGTCAGGAAACCTTGTCAGAAGTGATTCATATTGATGCCCCCTTTCCTTTTATTAAAAAACTGTATTTGCATGCAGCGCTGCATACTGATATCAGATCATCTAAGACCTCATTTGGAAATTAATTTAGGGTGGGGATTGAGCGCTGCTGCGTTTTTTTTTTTTTTTTTTTTTACTGCCCCCCCAACCACCCCCTTTAAGCTGCAAATGGCAGCGGATGTGGGTGTTTACATGCCGAGATCATGACACCCATGGCAAAAACTACCCCAAATGATGCAATGTGAACAGGGATGCCCTAGTGCATGGGTGTCAAACTGGCAGCCCTCCAGCTGTTGCAAAACTAAAAGTCCCATCATGCCTCTGCCTTTGGGAGTCATGCTTGTAACTGTCAATCTTGCAATGCCTCATGGGACTTGTACTTTGGCAACAGCTGGAGGGTCACCAGTTTGACACCTGTGCCCTAGTGGAAGCTGGCTCTTTAAGTGGGCTGTGACACCTGAGGCAGGAAGGCAGAGTCCTCAATCATGCAAGACTGTGATTGGCTGCACAGTGATGTCTTCATTGGGAGCTGAACATGAGCTGTCCATGTAAGTGTGACAGTTGTTGGGGTGCTTATGGAGTGTACCCCAGAACCACACAGTGATGCATACATGCGATGCCTGGGCGTTAAGGCCCACCCACCTGATGCATACATGCGCAAGGAAGGTTTATACCTGCATCTAAGCCACTGCGTCTCTGAACAGATCCACATTTGGATTGCAGTGAGATACCTCTTCACCACCCATTTATAACCCTGTCATTGCCTCACATTTTGCTGCAGCCACGTGCTTGCCACGCAGTTTTAGGGTGTTTGTAGCGCTTTCTCGTTTGCTTGAGTGAATTCCATTTGGCAGGCGTGACATGTTGGATCATTTTTGCAGTGGAAACAAAGTATCACAGCAGCAACATGAGAACACCCTGTCCTCCGCCATTGCAGCCTAAAGTGGTTGTAAACCCTCACATAGACCCAGTGAAGTGACTGGCATCAGGTGATATGCAGATATGAAACAAATCCTCCTACATAAGTTGTTCCTGTTTATCTGCAGTCTTCCCTAAATCCATCCAAAGTGCTGCATTTATAAATCCATCCAAAGTGCTGCATTTATAAAGGTTATCTAAGATTTCAGAAAAAAAAGAGATGGAGAACTGAAATTACACTGCAGAGAGTAGTGAGGAGAGCTGTGAGAAGCGATTGGAGGGAAGATACACACACGCCCCTGCACACAGCTCACAGGAACAGAACTGAGGTTGTCAATCGGATGGAGATCCCTCCCCTGTCACCATTTTTCTCTTGGTGTCAGGAAAACTTGTCAAAAGTGATTCATAGTGATAACAGAGGGACAAAGAAGCAGACAGAAATTACACTTAGTGCTCTTAACTGGGACACATACACACTGTAGAGGGATATACTTTTGTAATAATATTTCACGTTTGAGGTTTACAACCACTTTAAGGCTTGGTTCACATCTGTGTGGGTGGTGCCGCTGCGGGACCTGCACAAATGCCTGCAGCCGCACCACCCACACAGAGGGATGCGGGACCTGCACAAATGCCTGCAGCCGCACCCGCACAGAGGAATGCGGGACCCGCACAAATGCCTGCAGCCGCACAGAGGAATGCGGGACCCGCACAAATGCCTGCAGCCGCACCACGCACACAGAGGAATGGGGGACCCGCACAAATGCCTGCAGCCGCACCACCCACACAGAGGAATGGGGGACCCGCACAAATGCCTGCAGCCGCACCACCCACACAGAAGAATGGGGGACCCGCAGGCAGATTCCAATAATTCTAATGGCACGCCGGCAGCACTGGAAATAGCAACTGTACTGGGGACTTCAGTTCCTGAGCAGGCTGCGATTTCCCAAGTAGTGCAGGGATGACTTCTCTGCGTGTCCCGGGGCATGGGAGTCCACTCAAACGAATGGGCTCTCGTTCCCGCGCAAATCCGGACCGCACATGTGAACCTGGTCTAAGGGAATGCTAAAAATGCAGCTCAGTCAAGTGTGTTTTAAATGCGCCCCCCCCCCCCCCCCTAACCTCAAGTCTAATCGAGCTATAAGGCTATCTTAAAGGGAGTTAAATAAGTATATTTTCTGTTACACACATTTGTGCTCCTGCTTCCTGTTCTATAGGCACTGTTGCTGCAGTCCTGATTTCACTGCTGCCACCTGGGAAGGCTATGTCACCAGGGCCTTTTAGGAAAATCTCATCCCTAACGCACAAGATTTTGTAAAACCTTGTGAGATTGCGGGGGAGGTGGCTGACCTTTGGCATTCACATTGTAATTGTTTATAGGTTGATGTATTGCTTATGTTGCTGTAGTAGTTACAACATATTAGCACTAATGGCTGCAGATCTTGTGTTGCTCTTGTATGGAGCTTATGTCATCAGTGGCCTAGCAGTGAAAATGTGGAAGAAGCTGTTCACCAATTATGTCTCCAAGACCGCATCGCAGGTTGGCGGGAAGAGGCACGTTTAGCAAGTAACTATCGTTAAAAGTAGTATTAAACATTTCAATTTTCTTGCACGACTGCATTCTATTCAACCAGGGAAACATTCCCCAACTCATTATTTAGAGCATATGTATTTGAAACACTCATAATCTCTGCCCTTCAATGCCTTCAGCCAGATTGCAGAGCGCAACTTCCCCCGCACATCTGGATCAGGGAGAGATCAGTGTAGAATCAGGTGATCATACCTCCCCTTTGTCTATAGGCATGCATGCTTCTTGCCTTGGGACTAAATGTCCCATGATCACTTGAGTCAGCCCATATTGCGCATGTGTGTCTGGTCTGTCAGCATCGGGTGCCTCCTGTGTCCTCGCACCATCCTGCGCATGCGTGTCCAAATCTTCTTAAAGGATAAGTTCACCTTTTAGAAAAAAATTATAAATGCACAATTTTTTTTCAGGTAAAAAAATGTGCATTTATTATTATTGTCTGCAGGAGCCTGATAAGCACCAATGATCAGTAGATCGCTGATGCCATGCAGGTCTCCTGCAGACCTGTCAGAATATTTGCTTGTTGTAGGGGATGTACGAGCAAGCAGATATTCTGACAGGAAGAATGTATGAGGACTACAAGCTGACAGCCACTAAGGCTGTCGGGACTTCTAGTCTGTCATTCACAGATGACTGTGAATGAGTGACGGTCATGTCATTGGAGCCCACATGGCCACGTTTTTTTAAAACTTGACAGCTAGCGAGGATGGAAAAGATCCCTCACTAGCTGTCAAAGTAGGGAGCGAGGGGTTTGATCCTGTCTTCT